AAATGCCTTGGGCTGTTTCTGCTAGTCCTCACTGCCTTCTCCTCCCTACCTTCCCACCCTGTAACACCAACCACAGCCTGGGAATGAAGAATGTCTATCCATGGCAGACTGGATGACACAAACACAGCTTAAATAAAACCTGCAATTACCAAGAAAGGGAAGAAGCGTGAACAGGCTAATTATGGGTTGTACAAGCAGAGAGCTAATTTTGGAATTTTTTATAGCTTAAATATAAGACTTAAGGGAGCCAAGGTATAGTACAGCATGGAAGAAATGTACGGTCAAAGGGAAATAGCATTCTGAGCAGTATTCTGAATTATGATTGCTATGACAGATAATTTCCATGACATAAAATTGAGGCGTTTGCTTGACTATGGAGATTGTTTCCAGAAATCTTGACAACTGTGTATTTCCTGAATATGTAGTAAAGTAGGTAAGTATAGCATCTCCAGTGCACTACCAGAAATGACAAATTTATAAAATCAACTCAATGGCAATGTAGGTACCAGGATATATTAAAATGTATTATGCTTTTATGCTGTTTTTAAATGATATCCAGTTGCTGATATTTACGGAGGTGACCATAATTCCAAGTAAATATTTGCTTTGCGTTCAGATAGTACAGGTTCCATTTCCAGCATCTCCAACTAAAAGAATCACATTTATCTTAACATCTTATTATGTATTTATTCTTAATATTATTTTGATTTGATTTATATTTATCTATTCCTCTTCCAGAAGAAACCCAGAGCTAGCTGTGTGTGTGCATGCATGTGTGTATATGTATATGTGTAGGTGTAGGTGTGTATGTATATCTCTCCCAATCTTAAAAAACATCAACAATGAAAATTAAAAAATCTATAAACAACACCCAAACATATAAACAAGATTCATTTTTAAAAGCAATCAAAAAAGCAGTTTGATCTCAAGACATTATCCCATAACTCCCTGTGTGAACTGAGGTTTATTTATATAAATTTATTGGCTGCCCAACTTCTGTAGAGATGTCTTTAAGCATTGTCTAAAAAATTTATTTGGGGGCATAGATCTCCAATTGGAAAGACTCTTCCATTGAGAAGAGCTTTAAATGGCTTTGGAATCAAGCATTTAAGAGTTTGCGTCTCTGATATCATCTAACCTGGGCAGTAGGTCAGCTGGGGAAGTCCTACTTATGACCTCAAAGGTTGGTTCAACTCACAATGGCGTGGTCAGGATTAGAGCTCTAATAATGACACAATTGGAATACTGCAATGTAGTAGCTCCTTAAATGCTAAATCAGGTGACTAAAAGGAACAATATAACATAGACACTAAAAGTATTGCACTGACTAGGAAGTTACGTTTTTTTTTCTAGACAGGTGAACACTGGCTTTTATAGATTTGTTACTTGTGATTTTAATTGGGAGGTATTTATATTTTTATTGCTTTTATTGCCTTGGTTTTAATCATAAGCTGCCCAGAGTAACCCTCTGGGGGAGATGGGCATCATATAAATTTAATAAATAAATAAACACACTTTCAAACAAATGTGCTGAGCTGTAGGCAACTACCACTTTTATATTCCAAAATGCCTGCACAATCTAATGGGGCCCAGAGCAATTCTTTTCAAAATAGATGATACTAGGGTTGGGTACCTACCTAGCTTAGCTGTGATAGACCAAAAGACTTCTACTTAAATCTTTTTAATCAAAATATCTTAAAATAAAACCCCCAAAAAATCTGATGGGCAGGAAACTTGGTAGGTATACAGGGAAGTAGGCAATTTTTTTTCTTAATTAAGGATTTTAAAAGAAGAAATAGAACTACACAAATAATTTGTATGTTAAAGAATCCTAAAACAAGCCCTTTAAATTTTTCATAAACCCTGAAAAGTATTCATTTTATCCTTTATAAAATACATATCCCACCAGTCCTGATAAAATAACTATTTCCCCTTTGCTTTTTGAACAAATGAATTTTCTCAGACACCTTCTCAAGCAGAATCACTGACCAACTCTTATCAATCTGTTTTTCAAATAAAAGATTATCCAAGTATTTCCATTGGTGGATCTGAACTGAATGAAGTTGGTTTAAGGCAGCTTCATATATAGATATCTTTCTCGGTCTTAACTGAAGTGGTTATAAATTCACAAATAAATAAAAATAGAATAAAAATTTAGAAAAGCTACATTTCATATAGTAATGATCATATCATGGCAGGAATTTTTATTTAAGGGAATGCAAATTTAGTGATTCAGTGACATGAATGTGTCAGTTCTTGCACTGGTATCTTCCAGATTATATACAACATATATTGACAATGTGCCACCACAATTAGAATTTTAACTAGGAATGCCTTTCCAGAGCATATTATCTTATTTCTGCATCATCCTTGTTTGCAAATTGGTTTGAGGTCTCAGTTTCCAAGTCAGTGTTTCTTAAATATCAAAATGACCTGGGCTTTTAATATCTTAGACTGCCCTATCACATAAGTACTCTTTGTATGCCATGTGACTTTCACCATTTCTGAGTCATAATGCTATATATACATTTTTGAGTTGGCAGAAATCAGCATGAAATGTCTTATCCCCACTGCTGATCTATATCCTGCTTCTGTTGGCTGTCAGTGCCTCCAGTTATTGCCAGACACCTGACTTCCTTCCAAGGTAATGGGTGACAAAGCTTATATAGCTTTAGGCTTTCCTTGGAAGGAAAAATACTACTTATTTCCATCCTTACAGAACAGGGGGAGAGTTTTATCCAGCACATGGGAAAATGAAAGCTGGTCATTTCTATTATGCAGCATTCTCACAGGCAAGCTATTCTGGGATGCTGGTGTTTCATAAATACCCAACATACACTGATACATAACAAGGTGGTTCTCCTCCTCTTCCCTCAGTGTTATAAACTCTGCAAATCAAAGGAATCTTTCCTGATTTTATAAAGCAATTTCAATATCTGTTTCTTTCCCTTTTTTTTCCTTAAGGTGTCTAAGTGTTCTGAAGAAATTAAAAATTACATTGAAGAAAGATCTGGAGAAGACCCTCTAGTGAAAGGCATTCCTGAAGACAGGAACCCTTTTAAAGAGAAAGGAGGATGTGTAATTGCATAGAAGAATGCAGATAACTCTGAAACTGGGAAAAAAAAAACATACTGTAGAATAGCTAGTTTAATTTAAATTTCAGGAATCTTATTGTACAAATTAAAAGATTTTTTTTAAAATAAGAAAACAAATAAATGATTATATTGTTATCCCCTGAAACAAGTTCTTGCTTAACATATCATTAAATACCTTTCAAAAGGTTGTTTTGTATACTTAATTTCTTGCATCTGCTGGTTGAAATTATTATTAGCCACAATGTAATATTGGTAAAGAAAATTTAAAAAGCACAGTGAAATGGTCCTCCCTTCAGAATATAGGATTTTAGTTCAAACACCCCCATGGCAAAGATTATTTATCTCTGACTCCTATCAATCTTCACCACTGGTCCTGCAGGCTGGGGCTACTGCATGGTCTCATTCAGCAATATCTGGAAGGTATCTGGAAGTGTAAGGGCTAGGGTTAAACAATTGGTGGAATAGAGTTATTTTGGCTGCTTTTTGAAATACCAAAAGGAAAGGGGTTGTGTAGAAATCTGGGGGTAGAGAGTTCCAAAATATGGAGGCCACTTACCTTTAACCTCTAATTAAGAGGAAGTCTAATAGGTTTTCTCAAGATGTTTTCACTGGATTCAATCCTGGCAAGGTGGTACCTGATATCCTGGTGCTATTCCGCATCAGGCTTTATAGGTGAGAACCAGCACTTCAGATTGGGCCAGGAAATCTACTGGTAACCAGGCCAGTGATTTTAAAAAGGCATTATCCTGCAATGGTGGGATTTACCTACCTATAGTCTTGCTACCACATTCTGGATAGCTAAACCTGGTCAAAAGCTCCCTGGTATTTCCTCCCCTATTGTTTAAGCAGTAGCTATCAGTCCAAGATGATTCCTGGATCGTGAATCAACTCCTTACACTTACAGATAGTCCTCACTTAACCACCATTCATTCAGCAACTGTTTGAAATTATGATGGTGCTGAACGAATGATAGTTATAGCCAGTCCTCAAAGTTACAGCTGCTGCAGTGCCCCAGCGGTCACAAGATCAAAATTTGGGTGCTTGGGAATCCGCTTGCATTTACATCCAGTGTGTGCTTCAACTCCCCCCAACCACCTATCTTCCCCCATCTCTGCCC